CGAAGTTGGAGAGGGTAAGTGACGAACAAGGTCTACCTTAGATTTATCCACTTCAATGCCTTCTTCAGAAATAATATGTCCTAGAACAATACCTTACTTAACCATAAAGTGACATTTTTCCCAATTAAGCACAAGATTCGTTTCAACACAACATTTCAAAATTAAGGTCAGATTACTCAAGCAATGATCGAATGAATTACCAAACACACTAAAATCATCCATGAATATCTCAATAATTTTCTCCACATAATCAGAAAAGATACTCACCATCCATCGTTGAAATGTCGCAGGGGCATTGCACAAAACCAAATGGCATGCGCCTGTATGCAAAGGTGCCAAAGGGGCACGTGAACGTTGTCTTTTCTTGGTCCTCCGGAGCTATCACAATTTGGTTATATCCGGAATATCCATCAAGAAAGCAATAAAATTGATAACCGGCTAACCTTTCTAACATTTGGTCCAGGAATGGCAACGGAAAGTGATCCTTCCTTGTCATGGCATTTAACTTCCTGTAATCAATACAAACACGCCAACCGGTCACCACACGAGTGGGCACAAGCTCTTGTTCTTCATTCTTCACCACCGTGACTCCGAACTTCTTAGGAACAACCTGCACGGGAGACACCCAACGACTATCAGAAATAGGGTATATAACACCACAATCAAGCAATTTTATAACCTCATTCTTTACTACTTCCAACATGGGTGGATTAAGGCGACGTTGAGCCTCCCGAGATGGCTTAGCTCCCTCCTCCAAAAGGATGCGATGCATGCACGTGGTGGGACTAATGCCTTTGATATCCGCCAAGGTCCATCCAATGGCAGATTTGTGCTCCTTTAACACCCTTATCAACTTGTCTTCTTCTTGAGCCGTGAGTGAGCTAGATATGATGACGGGTAATGTCTGATCTTCTCCCAAGAAAACATACTTCAAGTGATAAGGTAATGGCTTCAACTCCAGTGTAGGTGGCTGCACAATTGATGGAAGTAACTTGTTAGCCAAAACCGAATCTAAAATGGAGAGTGGAGACTTACCAGATTGTGAAGGTAACGATGCGAAGGCCGCGACCATTTCAAATACTTCACCACAAGGGGGCACGGCAATATGATCAGATTCCATGCCGTGGGTTGCAAGGATTCCCCCACCCTCATTTCTTGCTCCTATGTCGTGCACGAAGGCTATTTCAAGTGCATCGTCGTTCATTCGATCCAAATGTACATGTGCCAAAGAATCAACAATGTCAATAGCAAAACAAGAATGGTCCTCAATTGGATATTTAATGGTTTCAGAAAGATTAAAACGAATAATGTCCCCATCAAACTCCATGGTCAATGTTCCCATGAACATGTCTATCTTTGTTCTTGCTGTCTTCATGAATGATCGGCCTAGCAAGATTGGCAATGATGGAGCATGGCTCGAATCCTCCATTTCTAAGACATAAAAATCTGCAGGAAAGATAAGATGATTGACCTGCACTAAAACATCCTCAAGGACTCCCTTAGGATATGCGTTAGAACGATCGGCCAATTGAATTATAACACCATCCTGTTTTAACTCACCAAGGTTCATTGATGCATAAATGGAATATGGCATAACATTAATAGAAGCACCTAGATCTAACATGCATTGTTCAAATCTAGTGTTTCCAATTATGCATGGGATAGTAAAGCTTCCTGGATCCTTACACTTTGGAGGTAACTTTCGTTGCAAAACCACGGATACATTTTCACTTACTTTCACAACTTCTTTAATTGAAATTCTTTTCCTAGTTGTGCATAACTCTTTCAAAAACTTTGCATACCTGGGCACTTGCTTAATAGCATCAAGTAAGGGAATGTTTACTTGGACTTTTCGAAAGGTATCCAAAATGTCCTTTTCGCTTTCTTCCTTCTTCGATTGTGCAAATCTGCGAGGGAAAGGAACATTGGGCAGATTAGTGTTCGAAATCACAACATTTGGGACAATCTTACCTGAGGTGGACGAATGGGAGATCTTAGATGGTTGCGGCATGGTTGGTGCTACCCTTACCGTGGGGTAAGTTTGCTCATCTTCTTCGATTTGTATCTTTTCATCTTCCTTGTTTCTCACTTCTTTTCCACTTCTTAGTGTGATAGCTTGTGCAGATTCGAAACCACCCTTTGGATTGACCACTGTAGTGCTTGGTAACTTACCATTTTCACGAAATTGTCCCAAAAATTCGGCCATTTGGCCCATTTGCTTTTTAGCTCATTAACCTCCTTTGCTTGGTTCTGCATTCCTTGCGCCAGTGTGGTTAGTAACTGATATGTTTTATCGTCATTCATAGACGTACCTGGGTTGGTTTGGGACGATTATGCTTGAGGAGGTGGTTGTGGTGCCATTGGCCTTGGAAGGAAACTCGGGGGTTGTCGGAATCCACTTTGTTGGCCATATTATGGTGCATCTCTCCATCTGAAATTGGGGTGGTCACGCCATCCCGGATTGTATGTATTGGAGAAAGGATCACCCATTGGTTGGTTTTGATTCCCATAACCCACAGCATTTGCAGATTCCCACCCTCCATTCTCAATTAATTGAGGGCATTGATCAGATTGGTGTCCTTGAATGGAGCATACACCGCAGATTGTAGTTCCTTGTGCTTTGGGGCCTTCAATAAACTGCGATAACATAGACGTAAGGTTAGCCATTTGGGATTGTAACTCAGAGATAGAGCTTACCTCATTTACATGATGTGGTCGTGGGGTGTCTCTTTGCCCAACACCTTCATATTGTTGTGCATTGAGTGCTCTATTAGCAATGAGAGTTTTGGCATCCCTAGGTGTCTTGTCCACTAGAGCTCATCCCGCGGATGCATCCAACATTTGTCGTTCAAGTGGTAAAAGACCTTCGTAAAAGTATTGAAGAAGTAGCTCCTCCTTCATCTGATGCTGTGGACAAGAAGCAACAAGTGATTTAAATCGTTCATAATAAGATGGAAAAGATTCACCTTGGCTTTGCTGAATTCCACTAATCTTCTTGCGAAGAAGAATGACTCGTGATGTCGGAAAGAACTTCTCTAAGAAGGCTCGCTTCATACTCTCCCATAATGTGACGGTTCCGGGAGCCAACTCATACAACCAATCCTTGGCCTTCTCCATCAAAGAAAAGGGAAAAGCTTTCATCTTCAATATGTTGCTATCCACGTTCACCGGTGTCATACTTGAGCATACTACTTCGAATTCCTTTAAGTGCTTATTGGGGTCCTCCATTGATAACCCATGGAATTTGGGTATATGATGTAGCAAACTTGACTTCAACTCAAATTCAGCGGTCTTCTCAGGGTCTGCCGTAGGGTATTGGATGCAAAGAGGGGCTGCATTGGCCAAACCCGAGGCAGAAAGCTCCTTGATGGTTCGATTGTCTACTGCCATGGTTGGTACCTCCTCTTCAACCTCAACTTCTTGCTCTTCTAATTCAGGTTCGGGACTAGGAGGATTAGATTTTTGCAACCTCTTTTTCCTTCTCAAAGTCCTCTCAAAATCACTGTCAAAGTCGAAGATATGCTCACGAACAGGTTGTGAGCTGCGTGTCATAAACTAGTACCTGCACACAAGAGCAAACAAAATTAGTAACCAACTTAATAGACTCAGCACGAGTAAGGAAATAAGGTGCCTATACACGGCACAAAAACAAAACACACCCACGGTGCAAAATTAAAACAAAACAGAAACTAAACAATTTAAACAAGACTCAAGACAAGGGATTAGCGACTTTGTCAATCCCCGGCAACGGCGCCAAAATTTTGATGCTTAAAATAACTAAACACACAAATTAACCCTATTTGTGACAATTGTAGTAATGATGTAAGTAGGGATCGTTCTAACCGAGGATTAACTAGGGGTGCTAATCTAATATAAATTGATTCAAAAACGCAAAAACTAAACTTAAAGACTCTAACAAAACTACTATGACTTAAAACAGATTTTAAGCACTCAAAACTGCCTAAAACAATCAAATTGACTCAAAAAGAAACTGGAACTTGATTTGGACGAATTCCAAAGTGTTTATGACTCCAACTGCTTAAGAACACAAAATAACACAGATTTGAATTACTAAGACTCAACAAAATATGGGGGAGTTGCGTTTGGACGAAATTAAAGTAAATTGGCAGATTATAAAGAAAACAGATTGTAAGACAAAATTATGATGAATCAATGGATGATGGAATAGCTAAGGGTTTCTTCTCCACACATGAAATATATGCAACGTAAATCAATTTCCAGTTATCAACTCATTAAGTTATGAATCTCGACACTCCAAGTTAATTAGGTCCGCTTAAATTAACCTTTAAATTTCCCTAGAATCATTGAATTGGATGAATATGCATCGCAAACAAATTATTCCTAACAAGTTCTCTATATGAACAGCATGATAAAGACACAGGTTAGAATCATTACGTTCTTTGGAAATCATAAGCATCGACAAGGCATTTGTAACTATGAAAAGCATGATACTTTTGCCAGGAATCTATTTAACACGATCGTGACTAGCGACCTTCACTACTTGCGAATATAAATTCATAACGATTAGGTGAAACAAATTTATATCCTAGCACCAAATTCAAACATGCAAATCAAGCGTGCACTCTCAATCAACATGCAAGAATAAGTTCTAAATCCAATGGTTAAGCAAATTGTATTCACAACTTATGCAACGATAACTGGAAGTAATCAACTTATTTCACATATATAATCATGGTTTTGAATACACCCTTAGCCAAAACAAAATTAGCCAATCATACTTAAAGCAAAACAAAGATTACATGAATTAGACATTAAAATCCAAAGAAAGAAAACACCTAGAATGCTCCAACTTGGCAGCAAGTGCATCCAAGATTCCTCTTTTCCCTTGCTTGCGGCAGATTGGGTTGTGGACATGTTTTGGGTAGTTTTATGGTGTAGAATGGATGGGGAATGGTATGGAAAGGTTTAGGGTGAGTGTGGAGGAGTGTTTGATGGTTGGAGGGTGGTGGAGAAACTCGGCAAAAAGGGTGGAAGAGGGTGGAGTGGCTGTTATGTTTTCTGGGCACTAGAATGGTGTTTTGGGGGTGTTTTGCTGCCTAGGGTGTGTATGGACGAATTTTCTGTGATGAATGATGAATATGGGAGATGGTCCTCTTGGCCAAGGGGTGTAAACAAGTATATATATGCCCCAAATACCCTAGAGAATCAGGTTAGGCAATGGGGAAATGCACAGCAAGAAGGGTCAATTTGTGGTGTGCAATGGTCCAAGGATGAAAATGAAGCAATGATGCAAAGTATGGAGGGTAAAATGGAGTGGTATTTCAGCTAGGGAGCATGAATGATTGTGTACATTGCATAGAAATGAAAAGGGGAGGTGAAATGTTTCAGAAATTAGTCAAAGGTGCAGCAACATGTGTTTCACACGGCATAGGATCCTAAAGGTGGCTGATGGAGCATCAATTGGTGCATGTAATGGTTGTGAAAGTTGTGTGAAATCTGATGGGTGAAGGGAACAAGAGGTATACAGCAATTGAGTGTAATAATTGAGTGTATTGAGGCATGAAATCAGAAATAATGTAGGGGACAAGGGTGATTAAGCATGGCATGGGAATCCAAAGGGAATACAATGTGAATTGCACGGCAAGAATGGTGAATTTTGGAGTGACACCCTATTGTGGATGAGTTCTTTATCCTTTGTACAATAATTCTTCACATTCTTAGCCTCTTTAGTCTTCAATTTTCGTCCATCCACCTCGCTCCCTACATTTGCTATCCATCCAAACCCGAAACTGCTCCAAAGGCCTCCAAAATGCATCTTATTGCATACTTTGTTCTTAGAATCTGAAAACACACAAAAACAACTTTAAACACTAAAATAGCTAAGAAAACACAACGTAAATGCGCAAGAACAAGCTAACTAAGTCGCATAAATATGCTCCTATCACGTTACAAAATATTTTATATTGTATATGTGTTGAAACTTATGTAAAACAAAAGAATATAGCGTGTATATTGATATGATAGTGTGTACCATCAAAAATAAAAAAGAAATATAATTATAAAATACAGTAATATAATAGTATTGTTGTAGGCCTATTTGACTGAACTATATTTAGGACTAGAGAGGGAGAGAGGCCGGCAACAAGAGAGAGAAAGAGAGATTTAATTGTGAGGTGTGTGTTGTATCACCCCATTGTGCCTTTATTTATAGTAGTAGGGAAGGTTAAATCCTTACCCTTTTAGGATTACAACTTTAATAGGATATTAACTACTAAAGGGAATATTCCAAGATATCCCTAGATACACTAGGATTTACACAATTACATTCCTATTCTAAATATGACTGCAACACTCCCCCTTGAGTGTGTAAATGCTCAAACAAAACATCGCATCAGATCTTCAACAGTTAAGGTATAATAGTTGATGAAGTCAGCGGCATAACAGGTGAATGCAAGTCTCTAATTTAAAGAAAGTATGCATTGGTAGTAAAACTCACAAAACCTCGCTATGGTACAACCTAAGGCAAGTGAAAACCCATAGACTAAGGGGAAAAGTGAGAAGTATGCATAATGTCTAAAATAAACGTTAAACAGGACTAGTGCGACTTCTTCGAACAGATAACCAGCATCTGTGTAATCAACAAGGTAGGAATCAACCCGAGAACCGAGGGGGAAAATGTCTTTAACACCATTCCAATGTCTGCATGTAGGCGCATTGCTGTATCTAGCCAAAAGATTAACAGCGAATGAGATGTCAGGTCTAGTGCATTGAGCCAAGTACAATAAAGCACCAATTGCACTTAGGTATGGAACTTCTGGCTCCAACATCTCTTCCTCATCCTCCGTAGGACAAAAGGGATCTCGTTTAGCATCTAAAGTTTGAACGACCATAGGAGTACTCAAAGGCTTTGCTTTATCCCCATTAAAACGTCGCAACACCTTTTGGGTGTAGTTTGATTGATGTACTAGGATTCCATCCAAACAATGCTCGATCTCCAGGCTTAGACAATATTATGTTTTCCTAAGACCTTTTATCTCAAATTCTGATTTCAAGTGAACGACAATTTCCTCTTGGGAGTTCTGTGGTCTCCTCAATCTAATAGATAGAGTGTTTCGTGGTCTATAACTATTTGAACCAGTCAATGGAAGTCTTTCTAGAACTTTCATGTAGATTTATGTATCTAGATCCCCATATAGATACGCGGTTACCACGTCCATAAGCTGCATTTTCAGTTTTTTCAGAAACTACCAAACTTATAAGGTAGCGGAACATTATGACGTCCATTATAGGGGAATACGTCTCCTCGTAATCAAACATAGGATGCTGAGAGAAGCTTTGCGCTACGAAGCGTGCTTTGTATCGCACTATTTCATTCTTCTCAATAAGTTTCCTCTTGAAAACCCACTTGTAGCCCACGGGCTTCACATGTGGTGGAGTATGAGCTATAGGTCCAAACACCTTATGTTTCGCAAGGGAATCGAGTTCGACCTGGATTGCTTGTTTCTAGTTTGACCAATCTGTTCTACTTCTGCATTCATCAACAGAACGTAGTTCAATGTCATCATTAAGCATGATATCAATAGCTACTGCGTACTCAAATGCATCCTCGACGATTATCTCATTCATATTCCAAACCTCATCTAATACTGCGTAGTAGACCGAAATCTCGCGGTTCTCGGGAGGTCGGGCTGTCTCATCTAAGACATCACCATAATCTAGAATAACTTTATGCGTCATAACAAATGAGTGAGCGATGGTCGGATTCAAACTAGGGTTGTTAGTTTATGCCGTTTTCCTCTTCCAGGATTGTGAATCATTTGAACCAAGGGGTCTGCCACGCTTCGGGGTCGGAGTAGATGATTGGCTAGCTGCCAATGTACCAAGCTGTATTACGGCGTACTCAAGGTATGTTTATCCTTGCAGGTGCATTTGTAGTGGGTATATGTGATATTGTCACCTTTGCTATATAAGTAAAAGTATCTGACATGCTTTGAGTAATGTTATGAAGATTTATACTTCATCGCACCTCAGTTTCAAACTAGACAGTGCGAGGATCTAAATGAGACATAGTGGGAGCATACCACGACAATTCGCGGCATTCTCTAAGAACCTTAGCATGCTTATCTGCCCCTAATGACGGAAATGTGCCCTAAAACCAATCATATGATGATACTTTATGGACATTTCACATTTAAACTAATCTAGTTTAATATAAAGGGCAAAGATTATTGTTTTAAGCCATCTCATATAAATATTATATGCTTAAACGTTAAGTCCAAGGAATATGTAATTGGGAGAATGTGATCTAAAGAAGTTAGATTCATAAGACCATTCTCTTTCGTATACATATCCTAAACGTTCGTGATCATAGGATTGTCAATTGGGCATTGACGGTCTATTAAGATCAGTACGTGCCATGTCTTCTTTTAAGGAGAATGACTGGTCTCGAGTCATTGGTGTGATTGACACCAAGGCAAGCATGTAGGTGATCAATAGAGAATGAGTCCACTAAACACGATCAACAAGAAGTTCTCATATTCATGTCACATGAGAACTCGTGGTTGAGATAATGCAAAGTAGTTGTTTAACCTGAGGCATCATGGTTGTCTTATGGTTAGGTCCTTGATCTTTGACTATGTCAAAGTCATTTCGTCAGAGGGTGTCCACAACATAGTTGGGGTTAAGCCACTTAGCCATAGAGGCAAGTGAATGAACAATAAGGGATTTTTAACCTTCAAACTGTTTGAGGGAGAATACTCTATGATATGATTAAGAGTCTCTGGCCAGAGTATGAATGAGATTTAGGAAGTTGTTCCAAATCACATTCAAGGTAATCATATAAGTAAATGAATCACATTGGATAGTAGACATGAATAAACTATCAAACCAAACAATGTGGTCAAGAGTATTGTATTAGATAAAGACTATATTACATTGTAATCCTAAACTAAATAGGTTCTCCACCTCTTCTGATTAGCTTGGGTAACCATGACATACTGCTAGGTATCACTTATGGTTTGTGGTAGCCCTAAAGGTATATAATCACTAAAGGGAGAATTGAAAGTAAGTTTCAATTCATAATCGATTTGAAGAGTTCTAATCGCCCACTGCCTCTCTAAAAGGAACCTAATGGATTGTACATTGTGTAAGGTAGACATTGAAGAAACAACAGAGATGAGTAAGGATAATTAAATGGTTTAATTATTTATGGCTTGGATTAATTAATATGTTAATTAATCAAACGAATATGCTCGTTATAGACCTCGGGTTGGTTTTGGGCCTCAAGGCCCAATGGGCTTCGAATGTCAAGCCCATTGACTTAAGTTGTATGACAACTTAATGAATAAAGATTCAAGAGGGCCCAAATAGACCAAAGACCATAGAAGGTCGATCATATTGATGAAACAGGGTTTTTGGTTCTTTTGTCACTTAATTGAAGTGACTATATAAAGAACTTTATAACACTTCATCATAAAGGTTTCTTTTGGAGAAATATGAGAACACAAAGCTCTCCTTTCTCCCTAAGAGGCCGGCCACCCTAGAGGAAATTAGCTAGCAATCTTACTTCCTCTAGGTCACTCATCTCTTCATCAATGCTCTCCTTGGTGTGGAAAAATTAGAGGCTCTCTATTTTGGGAATTTGGAGAATCCTTTCAACCATCCTCCTCTAAGAAATCAATGGAGCTAAGAAGCAAGGAATGAAAGCCCTCTCCTTGGGTGATTAGCCATTGCTTATGCAAAGAGGAATCAACAAAGGTATAAGATTTCTCAACTCACTTTGTTCTTGAGTTGAGTCTTGGTTCACCCAACTACTAGGCTTTGAATTTCATGGGTAAAGTTTTGTTTTTTGAGTGCATACAAGCATGATTCTGCCTTTTATTTGTTAATAGCATGCATAGATGTTGCTCAAATGAACTTGTTTTCATACATATTTCCTTCAAAGATCTCATATTAAAGGTTGCGAATCATAACCAACAAAGATTTCCATTTTTCTTCGAGGACCCATTTTGATACATAGTAGCGGCGCTATTAACACATAGACTGCGCACCCAAACACACGTAAATGTGAGATGTCACGTTCGTATCCAACAACTAACTATAACGGTGGGTCTCAGGCAGACCATCATAGATGCGTGCAATATTGTATAGCCCCAGGAAGATACTAACAGTTTGGTTCTCATAACCAAAGTCTGAGCAATCAATTGAAGGCGCTTTATGAAAGCTTCTGCCAGGCTATTTTGGGTGTGAACATGTGGTACATGGTGTTCGACTTCAATCCCAATTGACATGCAATAGTCCTCAAAAGTCCGTGACATAAATTCTTCAGCGTTATCCAATCCAATCGACTTGATCAAATAATCAGGGTGGTGAGCCCTAAGCTTAATAATTTATGCTAGGAGTTTCACAAATGTAGCGTTACGTGTGGACAATAAGCAGACATATGACCAACATGTCGATGAATCAACTAACACCATAAAGTATCTAAATGGTCCGCATGTTGGTTGGATAGGTCTACAAATATCCATTTGAATCCTCTGAAGAAAATTAGAAGGGTTATGAATAATCTTTGTAATTGAGGGTTGAGTATTTAACTTTCCTAAAGAACAAGCTTTGCATGGCAGGAATCCAACGTAAGAAGGTAAATGATGCCCATGTGATGATTTGAGGATACGACGCATCATGTCAGGTCCAGGATGTCCCATACGGTCATGCCAAAGCAACAAAGTGCTCTGGAACCCAGGCTCAGGGCTGGCCACATGGTGGGTCTCTATGTTGTGAATGGTTGTGATGTACAACCCACTCGAGAGACGTTCCAGCTTCTCGTGAATACGCTTCTGGCCATACTCGTAAGAAGTGATACAAAGAAATTAAGGTCCATTCTCTTCAATGGTTTCAATATGATATTGATTATCTTGATTGTCTCTAAAACTCAGCAACGTTCTTCAGGAACGTGGAGAATAGAAGGCCTCTTTAATGGCTAATATAGTACCATTAGAAAACATTATACGAACCTTTCTGTATCCTTCAATATGGTTGGATAAGCCTAAGAGGATTGTCATAGGTGCTTTCTTAGGTACAAAGTTAGTAAAATAGTGTTGCTCACGCAATATGGTGTGCGTGGTAGCACTATCAGCCATACAACTAACTTCCCCACTAGACTTACCTAGAAATAAATTGATTGAATTGGTCACATCATAAATATAATTCCATTCATTCAATTAATCAATTCGAGAAATAATATCCATAAAATAATTATCCATAATTCAAAACAAACCAAAACCAAACAAATTATTCCAAATACTTAGAAAAATTGTCCAAAAATTAAATCATAAACCTAAAAAAATAGGGGGGTTCGGCCACTCTTAGTGGGTTTGGCCACTAGGGGTAAAAACTCCCTAAAAACATGTCTAGGAGAATAAAATTTATTCGTCCATAGGAGATGATGCCTCCTGAAAATCTGATATCTCCATGGATGTTAATAGCATATTTGGGATGTTCTACATGGGCAAAGTTAGACTCACGACGGGAATGATACTTGGCAATGGCCTCGGGGGTAGCTCTGCTTACGCTTGACCAATGATCCTTTAATCCACAGCAATAACACATGTCCATTTCAGTGAAAGCCAATTGAACGATAGCTTTTCCCTTGTTCTTGAAGTTTGGGGCCTTAGGTGCATAGAGTTGGCGCTTCTGGGTCAAATTTCCTCCCTTAAGTGAACCATGGCTTTGTTGACCTTGGGCCCGTGGTTGGGCTTTCCGCCCATTTCCACTCCCATGATGATGTTTTCATCGTTTGTGGCTGCTAGAATTGGTCGCATGCGCTTCAGGCGCGGCGTTCGAGCCAGTGGGTTGAGCTTGATGATTTTTCATAGAAGAAGATTCTGCTTTTCAGCGAGAAGTAAAATAGAGATCAAATTCAAATTTTGGTGAAATTTTGTGCCTTATATTGTTGTTGCAAGACAATATTGGTGGCATGGAAGGTTAAATAAGTCTTCTCCAGGAGATCTGCTTTTGTTAAGTCCACTTTACAGAACTTAAGCAGTGATTAGATTTTACAAACTTCAAATTTGTATTCATTCATGAACTTAAAGTCTTAGAAGTGTAGGTGTTGCCCTTATCTTGCTTTAGGCAAGTAAATGTCTTTCTAATGATTGAAACGGTTAGCCAAAGTAAGCTAGATGGTGCATGGGTCCTCCTCTACAAGGTACTCAGTCTGCAGTGCATCATGGATGTGTCTTCGAATGAAGATCCTTGCAGTAGCATTCTAAGATTCATCGACGGGTTTGTTGTCGGTAGGTGCCTCGATGATGGCTCAAATATCCTTTGCAGTAAGATGAAGTTTCACGTCTTGAACCCATTTCAGTATTTTCTTCTAAAGACTTCCAGAGCAGCTAAATCAAGCTTGTTCAAGTTTGGCATGTCCCTAAAACGAAGGGTACAATAAAACGTGGTTAGTCATATGGTAATCCATAGACATATATCATTGAACATTCAGGTTCTATAGACATGTATTGGTTTAATTTAAGCATGAAAGCTACAAGTTTCAAGTGGTAAGTTTTGAATGAAAACTTCGGGTTTCAAAGGCACTAAATATGAAACTACAAGTTCACTTTAGTTTTATGAACGATTAGTTCATAAAGGAGAGGTTCCTGCAAGAACATAGAATGCAATATGCTAATCTAAGTGTAGTGGATTTGAGTTGCTTCGGGAACTTAAGTGTGAGAGCTTTAGGACTATAAAAGGATGTCAACAATTCAAAGTAGAAAAATAAATTATTGAATCGTTAATGTCCAAAAGTGATCTTCAGATTAATAATTTTGGATTCATTATCAAATTAATGGACTGCATGTCACTTTTAATTAATTCAATAAATCGAGACCAAATAGGGTCGATTATGAAAGCAAAATAATGACAAACTGGTCATTTTAGCTTCGGTTGGTGATAAACCAAGTGATAATTAAATTAGAATTAATTGGCGTAAACCAAAGTACCTCAAAAAAATTATTTGGGTATGATTTATAACGCAAGGATGCCAAAAATTGGCATTAGGTCGAAAAAATAACACGGGCCAGCCAAAAGTTGGCTGGTAACGACGCGAGGATAGGCTCTGCAGCTTAGTTGTAGGCTTATTTGGCCTCGGGGAGGGCTACAGGACTATGGGTCGTGTGGTCTGGGCGAGCCCAGCAACAAAAGCTTTTGGTTTGGGCCAAAATAGGGCGCGGTAGCAGGCCCAGCCAAAGGCTAGCTTGCAGGTTGGCGCTCACGAAGCCCAACCAAAGTTGGGGTTAGGGCAGGTCAAGCCTAGCAGGGAAAGTTGTGGGTAAGTGGGCTGAGGAGTGGCGAAGCCCTGCAAGCAACATGGGCTTGCTGCAGGCGAGTCTAGGGCACATGTTGGACTTAGCAAGCTATGGGCTTGCTGCAGGTTTGGGCCAGGGACTAAGGACAAAGTCCCGCAACTCAAAAGTTACTGGTTTTGGGCTTGGAAAGGCTACAGGCTCATGGTAACCCTTACCAGGCCGAAGCCTGGTGTCCATGTAGGCGTAGAAAAGCCCCAAAGGCTGTTGCCGTAGTCCAGACATCACAACGACGTTGTTTTGGTGGCGTGCATCGATGCGGTTGGGTTACAGGCCAACGCAGTGCTCAGCAATGGTGCTAGCAGCTGTGCCGCATTAAATTCCTAGATTTTTTGTTTTTTTGTTTCAACATGTTTAGGGTTTGAAAAACCCTAAATTGATTCTAATTTATTTATATGCTTTGACTCACAAATTCCACATAGAAAAATAATTGCGTAATGCATGAAACATATATATATTGACAAATGTATGAACCATATACAATATATATATATATATATATATATATATATATATATATATATATATATCGAAAGTAAAATATAAATATAAGGGGTTCATGCATCATGGGTAATGTTTTCATGCTTCGTGGAGACTTCAAATATCTTACTTTATTTTAAGCATACTTAATTGATAAAAAACAAATAAAAGCCTTTGAATGTTGTAGAAGAAAACCTCCTCCTACGATCCTTCATTTCCTTAGCATATGGCAAAAGCGTGCTGATAACGTGTTGTAGGTCTATTTGACTGAACTGTTGATAGGGATTTTACCACACACGTAAATGGGTTAAAACTCCTATATTACTTGCAAGAATGATAAGGTTATTGTAGTACAAATGGATCTCGCAAGGTCGTTCTCCACATGGATTATTAAATAAATCGAAGCAAATCAAATTCCAATTAATTGTTGTAAGGAGAAAATTGAGGTGATTGATATTTATGACCTAATTTAATAAATCAATTTAACTAATAAAAATAAGACAATCTGCAATATTAAAGTTGAAAGAAAAAGAAAACAGTTTTGGAAAAATCAATTTAAGAAGGCTAATTATATTAACACCCCACAAATTGTTGAATAAACCCCACATACTTAATACACCCCATATTTGCTTTTTCACTTAAAAATTATCTAAATACACCCCACATACTTTCCCATAATACCCCCACACCCCACATTCTCAATATACATCTTATATTTTGTACATACACCCCACATTTCTTTACACCCCACATTTCTCAAATCTTATAACACTCATTTTTAATTTTCAGGGATTGAATCTAACCATTTGAACGTTTAATTTGTCGAAATATTTCAAATCATCTGAACGTTTAGTTTACCGAATGATTTCAAAATGATGATTTGAAATCATCTTAGTATAGTTTGAAATCATCTTATTCAACTTCTAAAAAGCCTTAAAAATGACTCGTGGTGTTGAGTCTTTTCGAGTAAAAAAAAAGAAAAAAAAAAGACTCTCGTTACTGCTAACAAAGAATGCTTCTATATATATTTCACAAGTCTTTAGACTTAGTCTTGAACAAAATAAATAAAGACCCTCTCTCTGCTAATGATCCAGGTGTAGAAGTTAATTAATAAATCAAAACTGAATCGGTCTCAGATTTCTTTAAATATAGGCCATGTCTCTCCTCATTTTCCACTGATCATCTCCCAGTGACAAGAAAAGAAGAAGAAAAAAGAAAGAAAAACTCACAATGAGAAACGTACGTCAATCAAACGGCTAAAGATTAAGAGTAGGAGTTCATGTGGAGAATGGCTATCGTCAATTTGTAAAAGTAGTATATGACTCTAGCACTAATACGACTCATGTTACTGGGTTCGCAAGATTAATATGAACCCTAAAAGATGAATATGAATATATAGAAGTTTAAATAATGCAGCAAACGCAAGATTAAATAATTATTGATGTTATCGAAATCACTAAAACAATGAAAAATGTGAAGTCTTATCTCATGTAAAGCTTCAGAAACATCGATTTTGTATTCCATTTGTCAAAAACAATTTTTCTCAATCAACATGTTTGTAGTTTCATTGGTTAGAGTTTTATTCAACAATGGAAGATGAGAGGGTTTTGATAGTTGAGAAAATAAATAATACGCTAAAAGTGATTTGAGGTGTATTTATAAATTTTTATTTTTTTTAAAACCTAATAAGGTCAAAATTGTCATTGCATAGTGGAGTAAATAAGTCATTTAATATTAAATTTTAATATGGGGTGCATTCAACATTTTGTGGGGTGCTAATATAAAAAGCCTTTAAGAAAACAGTTTTGGAAAAATCAATTTAAGAAAACACTAGGGATCCGCCGTCACCTTAACAATTCTATATAGTTCTCTATATTACTTATGACTTATACATGCATATTTCGAAGGTTAGGTTTTCCTAATATATGCCTACTTGGACCCCCAACATAGAGCGTATATCAAACATGCAATCCGTCTGTGGTATTTAGATCAAATCTAAACATGCATAACTCATTAAGTTCTGTGAAACCTTTTGAAAAATCGTGCAACTCTTAAGACATGGTATTCATCCTAAGTGAACTTGCACATATTAATCACAAGAAGCCTTCGTCAATTTCAAGGACCGACCTCCGACCAAAATTACATCAAATTACTTTTCAAAAATCTTAATGATGATCAAGCATCAAGACAATTAGATAGTTTAAATCAGTGATTAATAACTCAAAAACCTGCATGCATATAATCATAAGCAAATTGAAGAGAAACTACATATTCTTACTAAGGCGCGTGACGTCACCCTAGCAAAAGGAATTAGTTACGCATATTCATAATTGATATAATAGAAAATATTATTAAGAAAAAGGATCAAAAACACCTTAAAGTAGAAAATCTCCAAGAACCCTAGCAATTGCTCTCTGTCTCGAAAGTTGCATAAAAGAAAATGCCGTCCTCAAACTGAGGCCGACTAAAACCTTAAATATCTCCCTAAAAGCCAGCAGCACAAACCCTAAAATTGTTGTCTCTTGTTCCTAGGCCTGGCAAATGGATCGTGTCTATCATGTTCGTGTCATTTTCGTGTAGCACCTGTTAACTTAACGAGTCGTGTCGTGTCACACCTGTTATCTTAACGGGCCCTTAACAGGTAAAGTGACCCGACCTGTTTTTTCTTAAATTTGCATATACCACACATTGCCACATAAATATTACTTCAAAACATTAAAATACATTTGTTGTTTAAGTACTACATCTACACTCGAAAATAAAAGCCTAAAAAAATACATCCATACACTATTAGTCTATTACAAAATATTAAATGTGCAAGGATATGCAAAATGAAAGAGTTTTTGTTTTCAATGTTGTGAAGCCTTTCTCAAAAGTTTAAACCTTGCCAATGGAATCCAAAGTTTGCATGTTATTCCTTTTACAAAATCCTCAATTTTCATCGATCATCATGAAGAAATATTTACCTAATCCCCCATGCTGAATTGTAATCATTTAACTACTTTGATTCATGCATATAAGCTGCAATAAGAGAAATTCATGTAATATTTGTTCAATTCAATATAAATTCACCACAATAAATCTGAGGCGTCATTGTATTAATCTTTATAATAATGACTACAAGAGTTATGCCCATGTATAATATTAAAACAACAATCCTACACCCCATAATTAACAGTGTTTGTGTTAGTTTTTTTTTTTTTTTTTTTTTTTTGGGAAGCTCATCAGAAAAACCGAGCTGGGAAGCGAGTCAGCCATGGCGATGGAGGTGAGTTCATAGTACGACGATGATTCTCATGTCGTTTTTTGATACGAAGAAGAAATGGGTTGGTGTTATTGCTAATTTTAATTAAGTTAAATGGATTAATGGAAGCTGCTGCAGCATATCCCCTAACATACAATAAATCTGAGACATTCATGCTTGAAAGAGGGTGAGGATGAAGGTTACGAAGTTCACAGAGTGAGACCGAGAGGCTACAGCTGCTAACACAATCACAATCAGGCACTACAAAATACAAAATACAGATCGAACCTTGAACGGAGATGCAGAGCTGAAGTTCACAGAGAGGGCCGCTACACGGAATAGGATGAGGAGGAAGGTTGCAACTTGCGAAGGCAAGGGAGATGCAGAGCTGAGCGGCAAAGATTCGAGAAGTCTGTCTGAGAAGAGAAGAGGATCCAAAGTCCAACCTAATGCCCAATGGACACCTAAGATTAAATCTTAGCCAATCCAAGGGTCACCAATTTTTTAAATTTAATTTAATATATAAATTTACTAACACTTTTCATATAACATAAGATTTTATGGTATTTATGGTATCCACTAGTGTAAATATTTTAAATTGAAGATCAAATTCATTTATTGTATTCATATAGATATAGGGTCAAGGAGTGTAACTGTAAAAAAAAATCATCAAAATCGGAATTAAAATAACCGTTAAATCATGATTTTTCGTTTATAACCGTCGAAAAGTTTTGTCCCGTTACTTGATCTCTGAATGTTTGTTTTTTGCGATTTTTGGCGTATGCGATCTCCAAGCATATACAAACAAGTTTGACGGTTTGGATCGTTGAAATTAGTTTTGTAGGATGTGTATCCCGTCAAAACAATAGATTCACTAACACTTAAAGTTTATTTATACTTTCATTAAGTATAACATACGATTTTGTGGTATCCACTAGTGTAAATATTTTAAATCGAAGATCAAATTCATTTATTGTATTCATATAGGGTCAAGGAGTGTAGCTATAAAACTCATCAAAATCAGAGTTAAAATAACCGTTAAATCGTGATTTTTCATTTATAACCGTCGAAAAGTTTTGTCCAGTTACTTGATCTCTGAATGTTTATTTTTTGCGATTTTTGGCGTATGCGAACTCGAAGCATATACAAACAAGTTTGACTGTTTAGATCGTTGAAATTAGTTTCGTAGGATGCGTATCTCATCAAAACGATAGATTCACTAACACTTAGAGTTTATTTATACTTTTATTAAGTATAACATAAGATTTTGGGGCATCGACTAGTGTAAATATTTTAAATTGAAGATCGAATTCATTCATTGTATTCATATAGGGTCAAGGAGTGTAGCTGTAAAAAAACATCAAAATCGGAGTTAAAATAACCGTTAAATCATGATTTTCATTTATAACCGTCGAAAAGTTTTGTCCCGTTACTTGATCTCTGAATGTTTGTTTTTTGTGATTTTTTGCTGATGCGATCTTGAACCATATACAAACAAGTTTGACGGTTGGATCGTTGAAATTAGTTTCACATAATTCGTATCCCATCTAGTTCAATGGTATATAACTATATATATATATATATATATATATATATATATATATTTATTTATATTAATTAGATTTAAATCTATTTATTTTGTACGTATAATTGACCGGTACATGGAGTAGTACATCACGTGTCATTATAAAAATAGTGGGATATGTGTGATAAAAAGTTAATAACTTAAAAAATAAAATTTCTCACAACTTCTATTAAAACACATGGTGTACTATTTGTGTTCCCGTTACAATGAAAAATTTCTCAAGAAAAAAAGGAGAGAGAGAGGTAAATGACATACACGTGTCAGGAACACAGATGTCGAATCTTATCCTAACAAGTGCACACTTGAGAGACCACAGTGGAAAAACCCGCCCTACTAATAGCAAGCAAAATACCACTACACCCATCTTTCCCTCTCTTTTTTGTTTCCTTTTCTTATAATTTTTTTTATCCCTTCCTTATTTTTTTTTTTTTTGAAAACTTTTTCCCTCCATTTTTCTTCAAAGGGCGGATGCATATTAATTATTATAGTTTTTAGGGGTATAAAATTTAATTTAAAATTTAATATATATATATATATAATTATTATAGTTAATATTTTGTGGGTATAATTATTATAGTTTTTAGGGGTATAAAATTGTTAAATTAATATATATATATATAATTATTATAGTATTTTTTTAGGGTTATAAAATTATTAAATTAATATTCTGCTTATCTTGTATCGTGTTACCCACTTGTATACCCGAACCAACCCGTTATCTTAACAGGTGCTTATCGGGTTACCCGATAACGACTCTATTTGTTATCGTGTCGACCCGAACACCTATTAATTTTGTGTCGTGTCGTGTCGGATTATCGGGTCATGTCAGGAATTGCCAAGCCTACTTGTTCCAATTAGGAAACTAAATAAAAATAGAAAATAAAGTCCTAATTAAGTTAGGAGAATCTGCACATAAACTAATAGAAAATAAAGTCCTAATTAAGTTAGGAGAATCTGCACATAAACTATCCAGCCACGTTTTAGCCACAAATCTCCTCCAAATCTAGCCTAAGATAGCTTGTTTTAAAGATCATGACGTTCTGAACACATCTCCAGAAGGCCACGAAATACAATCAAGTTAAGTGACTCATAAACGTCCTCCAACTGGAATTACTCCAAAAAAATTTCATTTGGTCCTGTTTTGCTCTAGAGGAAATCGAAAATCTTATATTGAAAATACAATTCAAAGTATCAAAATTCTTCCAAAATATTAACCAAAATATACTAAGAATAGGGTAAAATATATAATATGAAATTGACTCATCATTCAGCACTAATCCATGCTAAGGGAAAGAGAGAGTTTGGACTTGGAGTGCAAGGGGTTAAAAAGGAAGGTCCCATGGTCATCTCCAACCGAAAGGTCCAGAGGGCCAAATGGCATAAAATAGCCCGAAAACTGTCTCCAACCTAGGACCAAGCCAAAGGGCTCGTGGGCCTCACTGGACAAAAAAGGGCCAAAGGGCCAACCGGCCTTTGGCTGGGCCACATGCTGACATCATATTTGATTTTTCTTTTTTTTCTTTTTTATTTTTTACAAAATTTAAAATATCTTTTTTTTTCCCTATAACTTCCTAAGTCATTAAACAACATTAAATAACATTAAGTAACATTAAACAACATAAAAAAAAATTAACAACATGAAACTTAAACAACATTTTAAAAAACATTTAACATAAAAATTATTGACAATCCATAACATAAAATTATTGAGGTAATTTAATTTAAGTAACCATAGTAGTTCAATTAAAATAATAAATTATGTTTGGCTCTATGGTCCTTTGGCCCTCGGTTGGAGATGGTTTTTTTCACAGGGCTATGTTTGGCCTATGGCCCTCTGACCCCTTGGTTGGAGATAGTTTTTTTTTTTCACAGGGCTATGTTTGGCCTATGGCCCTCTGGCCCCTCGATTGGAGATGGTAAGAAATACGGCCTTGTACTATTCATTAAAATATTAATTTCTTAGAGGGCCAGAGGGCTAAAACGAGCCATCTGGCCAACCTTCAATTGGAGATGACACAATTCACCACTTGCTTCTCATATGCCTCATTTTCTTACCCACATTCATTTTAAAGGTGTCTTGTCCTCTATGCTGTTAACCGTCTACTTCAAAAAGATAGTTGTAAGAACAAAAGTCCAACCTCGAGATGTGATGAGTCGGCTTCAGGGTGCCAAGCAAAACGATTAGAGGATAGGATCCTTCTACTATAAAAATATCTTGTGTGTTTTTTCCTTCAATTAAGCCAGTTTCCTCTAATTTTAGATTTGGGGACCATTGAAATTTCAATGATCAAGATGGGGCAATCGTGACGCTTGAAGAGCAAGTAACCTTGCATTTAAGGTTATTGTTTCGTGCTTTGACTAAAAACATTGTTCTCTTCATATGTAATTTATGATCATGGCACTTGCTTGTCTGCTTCTAGAAAAACTAAACATTTTCGTTTTCTTTTGGTTTTTTACTCTGCCTATTCTCATGCCATTTTTTTTTTCTTTCCTTTTTTGAGCATAAGCGATAATCAGCACTAATATACGTTGAGAGGAAGGGAGAGGTTTGAACTCAAAATGCAATGGATTGAAGGAAAGCCTTAACCACTTGAGCAATTCACCATTTACTTCTCATATGCCTTATTTTCTTACCCTCATTCGTTTTAAAGGTGTCTCATCCTCTGCATTGTTAAATATCTGCTTCAAAAAGTTGTAAGAACAAAAGTTCAACCTGAAGATGTGATGCGTAACGAAACGACTCCGTCCGTAAAAACTCTCGCCGAAAGGGGAGGAAAAAGAACCACTTCGAACTTAATATTTAAAGAAAACCATATCTTTCTTTGTAACGATAGAACAAAACTACCAAAATTTGCTGAAAATAAATCAAATTAGCCTCAGCTTTTTAAGAAAACTGCTTTTAAAATAATTTCCGCAATGCCAAACCAGCCCTTAATTTAGATAACCTGTGAATTTGGTTGAAACCAAACCGACAAGAAATAGCGTAATCAAATTGGTGACAAATTTATAAGTATTCTTTGGCACAATCATACTGAGCGTTTTTGCCCAATCATATAAAACAGAAGACAAACAAAGATCACTAATCAACTCAATAAAATGTTGAGAATCGTAATATTGAATGAGGAGAAATTCAAAATTATGACAACAAACAAAACATAAAATTGCTTCTCCGTCAACCTCCACTTCCCGAAAACTCTGTCAGCCTCTAACAACCTCTATCAATCGCAATGTAGGTACATATCAACTCAACAAACCTGCAATACTTGCACTACAGAAACTCGCCCGGTTGGCATCAATCCTCAAAAGCTAGCCAAAGAATAAAAGCCACTTTCCAGAATATGTATTCAACTATGATACACGAACGGACCACCGTGAGCACAACAAAAGAATAAATAAAAGCCTCACACTTGCGCGAGCACACGAAAAACTGAACCAAAAGAATAATTAGCCTGCAAACATTCACATCAAGCGCATGCATCACTTCACCCCACTAGCAGCAGTAGTACATAAGATACAACGCATGCGAGAGCCACCCGATTGGGTGTCATCATCATCATCACCATCATCGTCACCATCACTATCACCATACCCATAATCGTCTACTTTCTCATTAGGATTGGCCACACTGGCTTTCATTTCACTCGTATAGGTGGAATCCATAAGACAAGTCACATGATAAGCATGACAGCAAAAGAAAACAATGACATTAACATTTTGAATAGAAAAAGGATCGAAACACATGCAACACCTTGCACCGCCCCTAGGTTTTGATTTAACCTCCATACTTCTCACACCTACCGATTTCTCAATCACCTGAGAAGCCCTACTATCATTTCTCTTTGACCGTGCCTCATCTTCTTCATTGCTCAAGTAAATTCCATGTGTTGCCTCTT